TATATATATATATATATATATATATATATATATATATATATATATATATATATATATAGCGAGAGGAAGAGAGATAGGACAGATAGTTGAGATAGAGAAAGAAAGAAAATAAGAAAAAAAGGTGGGAAAAGGGGGGGGGGGTAGAAAAGTAGAAGAGTTATCAGCCAATCAACACAAATCTTACGGCAGGCGTGTCAAAGATACTGTGATCCTTTTAAATTTCCAGTTTTCAGAACACACATCTTTAAAAAGCATCATAATCATACTACCAAACAATGAGGTCATGTTCTAGACACACTGGTGTTATTTCTGCATGCAGCAGGCACGCATCAACATAGCATGAATGCATGCACACGCCCCACCCTCTATTCAATCTCCTTGTCCTTATCCACCTAAAACTACCCATTCTACCTCAACACCATCTCGTTTTAATTTTTACGTCGACTTATCATTTCCATCTAATGCATGACTCCCAAACTGTCAAAATCCGAGCCAGGCCCCTTTGTTTGCTCTCTTGTGCAAATACATTTACAATAAAAGCCTTGGTGATTGATGGGGCTCCGGATTGATTGCACGGGGCGCCACAAAGACGGCCTGACACATGATTGACAATACGCAATGAAAGCTTTGATTGATGTCTTTAGAACAAACAGCAGATGGCTGGATTCCTCCGATATTCCCTGCTCGCTAGGCAGCATTATCGCATGCATTTTCACGTATACAATCTAAAGCGGGGGAGAAAATATACTGAACCAAATGAATACGTTTACAAAATTCTAAATATCATCATACACCAAGCATGTGTAATAATTATATTTTCGTACGCCAGGCGTGTAGACATTCCTAGTGAGGCGAAGCCGCTGAGAGGTTTGTTGACAAACACAAAAATCCGCGTAACAGTGGCACGCGCTGGCTGGCAGACGAGAAGCTCGTTTTCGACTGCTACACTAGACCATAAGAATATTAATATATGGTTTAAAAAGAGGTAAAACGTTAAATGCCTAATGATTTTTTTAAAAATAAAAACACTTACAATTCAGGACATTCCCTCAAGAAAACAAACGTCCAGCCATTTTCAATCAAAAAAATGGGAATCGAAATTATAATGTCCTCACGAAAGGCTAAGCTAATCACAACAGTTGCCACTTCATATCCAAACCAATCTCCAAAATTGACCCGGAAACAGAAGTGATAGAGAAAGGTCGGAGGTTGCGAGAGGACAAAGTTTGTGCGCATGACTCGTGACACATTCAATATAGGTTTCCCGAATAGCATTGACGCCATTTTGCATCTTTACCGTATTTCATATTTGCCAACTATGACATATTTTCTAATTATATAGAATAATTTGAATTTCTTTTTAAAACCATTTATTTCAAATCTTAAAAACTATTTTCCTTGACATCTGGAAGGTAAAAAATAATTCCCCAACCTTATCATTTCTTACTTCGTTATTTTGCATTTTCATAAATTTAGCCTTGTTGGGCAACCATCGCAACCGCAAGCACCAGTGAGTTGTTTTGATAATAACATAATAGTTTAAACGTCATGCTAAGTCTGACATTACTGACTTAGTAACGTTTTGGTCGCGCAAGATACAACAACAGCATGGTCAGCGAAGCGAGACCTTGCTATTTCCCGTCGTTTAGAAGCAATTACATTATTTACTAACGACATCGGTAGTAATAAAGTAGTAATAATTATTTTAATTAGAAGTGTGAAGTTCTAGACTAATGACAAATGATAATTTAATTAAATAGCCTACACTTACACTATATTATACTATATATTATATAGTATATGATGACCTATTATTCATTAAAAAGTTTATAAAAATAACACTTTACTTTATACAGTGTTATCATCAAATTAAATCTTAACTTTCAAGACTGACTCTACTTATTTAATATATTAGGTATGCTTGGGACTTGCTGGTTACTAAGCTTAGTGCTTAGCCAACCATATTCATATCATAATAATAATCATATTTATTGCTCTGTTGTCTTGTTTGAATCACTGTTTTGTTAGTTTATTGATAATTGTCAAGATACATTAAGTTCAGGAGGCCTATATTTATAGTCATATTCTAGTGAATGTGTATAACTATTATAGTTTTATAGTATAGCCATAGCCAGTAATTACAATTATTATGTATTATTAGTTATTATATTATAATTTACAAAAATAATAACTCAGTGTAAACTATTCATAGGAATGGGATAATAAATACATCATTCACATTCATATATAGAATAGCCTGTTATTGATTAATTATCAGCTAGTACAGGGGTTCTTAACCTTAGTCTTTTTGCTTAGCAGCACCCCTTCTTGATTACATTTTCAAAACCTTTCCTACACACCCAACCCGATTTGAAAACATTTTCACATTTTCAACAATAAAAATTTGTATAAAAATAAAATAAACATGATTTTTCTGAATCTTACATCACCCCCTGACAGAGTCTCCCACATTGTGCCCACATCCCTAGGGGGTTAGGGACTCCTTGTTGAGAACCCCTGGGCTAGTAACTAAGAGAGCAATATGCCTAAATACTAAATGGAGCAGCCTAGAACTAGAAAGTTTATTAGAGTTATATCTGATGTTTCTGCTAAGCAAGAAAAAAATCCTATTAAGTTTTTGCACCATGTCTTAGATTCTACGATTTTACTAGTCTATTATTTTAATTTTTGATCATTTGAAACGATTATCTTTTGTAATTATAAAACAAAAATGATATGTGCTCCAAATATTTACAAATAGAGATTTGGCAGACTATTCAAAAAATGGTAGCCGACCTCTGATCTAATGCTAAGACTAAAAAAGTTTTTAGTTTTGGGAGCGATAGTCTTTTTTTTAAAGATTTGCAAGAAATAGTCTTTTTTTTAAAGTCTAAATAAAATTCAAATAAAATTCAATGTGAATTTGATGCTTAATTTTTTAGATTGTATTACCAGTAGCTTCCAACCTGTGATTAGACTTTTCATTTATGAGTAAACCCTTTATATTTAAATGTAGCTTCTCATAAATCAATGGTTGTCAAAATCTGTTGTTTTGCTGTTTCAGCCATTATCAATATAAATTTGGCCTACCCCTAGCCGTCAACCACACAACTCAGTTGTATGCGTACCACCTCTATTGTATACTAAGGCTCTAGCAGAGGGATAATGGCTCTAGACAGCTCTTGTTTATTTTTATCAAGGGACAGCATTTTTTGCCAACTGCAGGGATGGGGGCAGGCGCTAATCTTGGCAACCTCAAGGCAGCACCAATTGTAGCTACATCACTTTACTAAATTTAAAGATGTATTATATATGCAGCTATCATGCTTTTTGTATTTTTATTTAGTGATATATTTTAAAGCTTCAAAAAGTATTCGAATAGGTTAAATAATTTATATAACACATTACAGTTAGAATTTTAAGACTTAATCATCCGACTAGATTATTTAAATTCTTAATGACATTGAATAACCACCAACAAACTTTATTTCAAATTTATTGCAGTTGTGAAAATAACTTAATCTAACTGCAAGGGTGAATATTTATGTTTTGTTTGGGATCTATTCTACCAAATAATAAATAATTTTAGCTGCCTAAAAGAAATAATTAATTTTACATCTTCAGAGCCCAACATGGATACCAGCAATCACATGTGTTTGATATGCAACAAAACTATAATTGGTCTTATCAATTATGTGGAGCATTTTAAATCTCACGCCACACCCCAAGATGGCCACATTGTGGAGCAGAAGCTGAATGCATGGGAGCTGAAAAGTATAAATTCCTCAGCTTGTATGAATGGAGAAAAGTTCTCAAAAAATGAGCAGCCAAATCACAGGCATTCCAACCACAGTGCACAAGAATCAGTAACATACAGCGGGGATACCTCACCACTGTCAGAATTTATAGACAATCAAGATGATTATGCTGATCCTGATTTAGAAGGTGGGGACCTCCTTTCATCAAAGCGCTGCCCAGATTTTTTTCAGTCACTTGAGTTGAAGAGCGCTACAGAAGATCCACCTCCTAAGCCAAAAATAAAAGCTGTACAAAGGCTGTCCATTTTGGAGGATGATTTGCATGCAGAGTCCTTGCTTCCCATAACAAGCATTCTCAGTAATTTAGAATTCAGCAGTGATGAGGAGTTCTTACATATTTCTGACAGTGAGGAAGAAAATGCTCATGTCAACGAGGAAAACTTCTGGTTGTCTGAAGAAGCTGAAGATAGATCCTCTTCTCACCCACCGCAAGGGCATACAGGAGGGAAATGGAGGCCAGGAGAAATGCCTAAACCAAGACGACCGATTTCTGGCAAGTGGAAGCCAGGCCACGGCCCTGGTCCGGCGTGTCGAAAAAACATTCTGAGAAAACAGTTCAGAACCAGGGGAAGTAAGGGTGATTTGGGGAAGATATTTTATTGTAATGTGTGCAATTCAAATTATTCCGATCGGAACTCTTACAGTCTTCACTTCAGTCAGCCTCAGCACAAAGAATTTGCCGAAGCCAAGAAACGAGAAAAGTCTGGTCAGGATTACCTTGAAGAGAATGAAAGGCAAGGGGAAGAATCTACTGAACAGGCAGCAAATTTCGAAACACAAATGGATAAAAGTACAGCTAAGCCTAGGAATAAAAATGATTCGTGCCACTGCCCAGTAAGTGTCTTTTTTTTCGGTGCTTTTCACTAGATATTAGCACTTGAATAAGGAATGATTTTTTTCCCCCCTAAATTATTGATTTATTCATGCTGATATTTTTTTTTTTAAAGTTAATTTTCATATTTTATTTTCTGACAAGGTGTGTGATCTGTACTTTGACAATGCTAATGTGTTCTCCATTCACTGTGAAACAAAACTACACAAAGATGGGATGCTGAAAAGAGGTTACAGAGAATTTAAAGCTTGTGATGGTAACGTCATTAGGATTGATGTGCAGCAGCAGACTATTTCCACTGAAAAAGCTGATACTTTGTGGACGGCTCTAGACCAGCGCAGGTATTCAGTTATTTTTTATTAAGGCAAAATATTCACCTTAAAAATAAAATATCTGCATGGTTTAGAAAATGCAACATAATTATGATTTAAATTCCTGCATTCAATGAGATTTATGTGTTTATTTTCTCTGGTGTGTTACATATTATTTTTTGGGCCCATAACTCTAATACAGTATTTTTTTTTATTAATCTGCAGACAGTTGTCTCCCCAGAAAACATCTGAAAACAAAGAGCAAGAGACCCATAACTGTCACATTTGTCAAAAACATTTCACGCGTAAATATGAAATGGCTCGTCACTTGCTTACGCGTATGCACAGGGCTCGGGCTCAGAAACACCCAGAGGCAGACTCTGTGGAGATGTTGAATAAATACAACAAGTATATGATACGACTGAGTCCTTTCCAGTGTGGCGTATGCCAGTTTTATTTTAACAGGCAGGTGGGTCACTTTTAGTGAGGTATTTTTCTGAATCCATATCTTAAAGAAATAAAAACTCAAGTGTTTGGTTTTGGATGACATTGTCAAATTAGTTATGACTATTTCATTAACATAATGCACTTTATGAACATTCTACTAGGACTCCTTGGTATTCCCTCGAAAGGCTGTAACTAGTTTTTTTTTTAAAGATGGAAATTATAGAAAGCTTTTAAGTCAAAAAAAGCTGCCTCCCGCAGACCACTGATAGAGGTGTCTTCAACATTAATTAATTGAGAGTCAGTACCCCACGCACATAGACCCAAAGGGAGCAAAATATGTCATTATTCATGCATTATATACATTGGTGTGCACCAAAATTCAGTCTTTGTCCCAGGTGAAGATTTTCCCTGGCACCGCCCTGACAACATTTGATCATATTTAACAAAAACCTGCTTTTCATACCATTGCAATACGAATAATAGTAAATCATCAAATACGAAATAAAAAAGTAAATAAAAGCAAATGTAAATTCTAGTTTTCTGTTTACTTGATTTATATAAGCTTTATAATATTGTTGTTGAATTTACCCTTTATATCAACTACCTGTAACACTTGTAACATAGGTTAACCTGCTTCTGTTAACCTTTTCATCTTTCTTTGTAATGTTGGTTAATTTATTAATTATTGACAAGTTTTTCTATAATCTTGGTAAACAGTTCAATGTAGTGTCTGCATATTTAAGCAGCAGCTATTGATTGCTCTTTAAAAGAAATCAATTTAATCAACATAGGCTAAGCATAAAATATTTTCTGGGTTGCATTTTCTCATGAAATTTTTGACCATATGCAATGTTCAAATTTTTTTTTTTTTTTTCATTTAACTGAAATATTCATGATTGTCTAATGGGATACATGAATGGGAACACATACATTTTATTCACTGCTTTGTTTAAATATCCCGTTTCAGAGAGACTTTCTGGATCATATGGGCAGTTCCAAACATGTGCTCACTTGTCAGGACATGCTGGGACCCATCATGTGTGTGGCTTGTAAATACAAAACTCACAAGCACAATGAGGTGAGCCAAAAAATGTGCACTATGTTAATCAGAGTCAGAACCTTTTAGATCTGGGCCACTTGATCTTTTTAGTCCCCCCTTATTTTATCCTGGCTCAGTGATGTCGCTTTGATCTTGAATTTCTCCATTCTCCCATTTTTAAGGTATCATTTGTGTCCTAAAATGGAAGTTTTGAAGAGACTTTCTTAAAATTTGAATTAGATTCAAATACAACAGTAATATTGATTGAGATCAAACTTGGGTACTTCTATTAAAACACAGATTTAAATTCATCATTGACTATTAGACTTTGGCAATGACCAGTAAATATTTGAATGTCAATGTGAGACCCATGTGAATGTGAAGCTCAGGCAAATTGCTCCTGTTGGGAACACTCCCCACCCTCCCCCCTTCCTAAGAGATTGCCTAACCACAGTAACTATTTGATATAACTTTGTGTAATCAAACTGTTCTATATATTAGGGATGTTGTGTTTTATGTGCTACTGCATCTGCAGTACGAGAGGTGTTAAAATAGCACATTCCCCTCTCCTCCCAAACTGATCCCATTTTGTTATGCAACTCTATTTAAATTGTGCGCACTGCTGTGTTGTTCAGATGATGGAACATGTTCAGTACCCAGAGCACCTGGTGGCCGTTGAGAAGAAGCATGGTACCTGTATAGTGAGAGAAAGCCACACCCGCATAACGTGCAAGTTCTGTGGTGTTAAGATGTACTCTGCCGTGAGGATGAGGCGCCACTGCCAGCGCAGGCACAATGATAGACTGACTGAGGTTCAAGTGGCCATGTTTGTTAAACCAGTGGAGTACAACAAGTACGACTGTCCCATGTGTAAAAAATCATTCAGAGCAAAAAGTCTTTTGCAGTTGCATTTTTTGAAGGTATGTTACATTCTCAGACTCAAAATAATGTCAATGTGGAGTTGTTGTTCTTTGGTTTGGGTAACTTTTACTGTCTTGTTTCTTTAAAATAATTGAGTGATTCACAACTTATGTGTATCAAATAAGTATCTTTCCTATATTATTACCACTTGAAAATAGGGCAAAGAAAAAGATGGACAGTATAACAGATACAAAGAAAAGCTTTAAAAAAAAAACTCTTAAAAGAAAAGAGAAAATTACTTTTCTTTACTAGGAATTTTCTTGACAGCCGTTAAAAAACATTTTGCATTTAAAGAATGATATATTTCTAGAGAAACAGTTGGCTGATAAACACTAACACTTGTCTCTCACAGATCCATAAAAATACGTCTTTGTTTAACTGCAATGTGTGCAACAGAGGCTACTTAGACCAGCGTCGACTAGACAATCACCTTAGAACAAGGTTCCATGCCAAACGTGTTATTGCTCAAAAACTGACCAGTGCTCAAAAGCAAAAGTCGGCAGGACTGAGGGCGACTACAATAGGGCAGAAATTAAACAAGAGAAGAGGTGCTTTTTAAAAAATCCAATGATGATTGTAAATTTGTACGCGCCTTGCCCGTTGATATACTAATTAGGACTATTAAATAAATTAACTTGATATGTTAATCAAAGATTTTCTTAAAAGAGTTTTTATCTTTCAAATTTACTTTAAGAAATGAAATATTTTTTAAAATTTACAGAAAAATTAAAACATCATTAAGGTTATACAAATTGTTTCCATTATATTATTCTATTTCTGAAATATCGCATCATTTATCTTGCCCCCCTCAGGTCGAGCTAAAAGAACCCTAGTGCGACCTCTTGATGTAAACCAAGGAGCAAAGGTCACAGATCAGAAGAAAGAAGACCCCAAAGATGATTATAGTCAGAGGCTCAGAAGAAGTACAAGAAAGAGGAAGAAAATGGAATTTTTTGATGATGACCCAGAGGAAGAGAAAGAGCCAGAGCCTGTTCAAATAACAGAGCCAGATCATGAGATCCAAATTAACCGCAAGTCCAGAAAGAAATGGACTCGCCTCAGAAACGCAAAGGATGGCCAGGGAGAGAAAAAGAAAATTAACTTATCTTTAAAGAATTCTGGGACTGATAAGAGTGAAACTTCAGATGGTAAAGCTGAACCAATGAACACCAAGAATGAAAGTGTGATAAGTGAAACGACCAACCATAAGGACAAAAACAGCAGCCCGGGAAATAAATCTAGTAGGAAGACCGTCAAGAAAACTGAGAAAACAAATAGCGTGAATGAAGAAAATGCAAATGAAAACACTGACTGTTTAGAAGAAGATTCTGAAGAAAATTTTTCAGAGAAAGATGAGGATGATGATGACTTTAGTCTGGGGGAGGGAGAAACTGATGCTCAAGACAGTGTTGATGAGGAGAAGCTAAATGAGGCCAGCAAACATATCTTCTCCTGCACATACTGTGATTTTGCTGCCACTGACCTCACAGGACTCAGGGGTCACTATAATGAGAATCACCCCAATGACATCCTGACATGCCAACCATGTAACCAGTACTTCTTGTCACTGAAGGTGAGACATACAATTTCTTTTACTGTTTTCATGTTTTGGTTCTTACATTTGAAACAAACTTTGTTACAATGACTTAGCATTGAAAGTGACATTTTCTTCATAAGATTGTTTTACGTGGCTCATGTCTATTTTTACCCTCTTTACTTCAACATGTCCGTGTCATTTTTAAAACTGACTTCCTCATAGGAGTCTTTGGAAAAAATAATTGCTATCTAGGCTATATTTCCTCTCTTGATTGAAATTTGTAAAAAAATCAATTGTTAAATAATTGATGATTTCTATGTTTTTGTTTTAGAAGAAGAGCCCACTGTCAACTTATTTACATCATTTCAACTTGCCTTTTATTTTAATTTTGGTTTAAGCATGTAAACCTACAACTGTGTGTTGACTTATGTAAATTAAAAACCTTAACAGAATATCAACTAATCACTGTTGTTTTGTTTACAAGAATGAAAGAAGAAGAATTAACCATGGAATGAATTTGTGCACAGGCATATAAAATCCACTGTTCTGGTCGAGGCCACCAGCTGAAGCTGAGGGAGCAGTCTGGTGAAACCAAGATGCACAAATGCCCAATGTGTGACAAGCGTTTCCTGCAGGAATCCTGCTGTCTGCTTCACCTGGAGACGGTGCATCGCCACCCGAGCTGTGAGACTGACATACAGAGGATTAATAAAGGCCAGGACCTGGTCACCCAACTCTATGGTGACCATGTCAAGCAGGTAATACACTACTTTAAAGCTGACCCGAGAATGAATGTTACTTATTAGGTCAGAATTGTCCTGTCTTTTCATTTCAAGCTTGAAGTGGACCGATACATGTATTTCCTTTACACAGCTAGAACACAAATGCTCATATATTAGTCTTATGTCTAACCATCTGTTTGTGTTGCACAAAATTTGAATAGTTTAACGTTGCCCACAAGCATGACCTTTAAATACTAAAATTGAGCCGAAAGACTTCAGTAGTTTTTCAAAGAGTTTCTGAAAATAAAGACTGGAGGAATCTTGATTGAAAAGCAGGGGCTCTTGTTAAAGTCTTATGGAGTCTGGCGGTGATAAGGAACCGCTACATATTCAATGAAGAGTTGATTGTTTTGTCGACACCCTGAAATATACCATGGAGCCCACAATGCCCATGGGCTCCTCAAATACCATGGAGCCCACAATGCCCATGGGCTCCTCAAATACCATGGAGCCCACAATGCCCAGGGGCTCCTCAAATACCATGGAGCCCACAATGCCCATGGGCTCCTCAAATACCATGGAGCCCACAATGCCCATGGGCTCCGCAACTTAAAAGATATAACGTAGCATTTATTAATTGTGCATAATTATATCTGCTGAAGAAAGCAATTAGTAATAAGAGATCCCTGTTTTGTCTTCTTTAAAGTTTCACCTTACGTCTTGAATCTCCGACTGCAACAACTATTGGTACTTTGGTGTCCACACGTAGATTTTTAATTTCTGAATAGTGGTTGTTTACTTCCATTAACAAAAGCACCTAACCCACAGGTTGAGAGCCTCAGCAATGAGACATCTGTCTCTTGTCCAGAGTGCGGTAAATTTGTTAGAAAAGACACCCTTGTGGAGCATCTCCGTCTGCACACAGGAGAGCGCCCATATGCCTGCCGCTTCTGTAGTAAAGGATTCGCTGGCCGGCTGACGCTGAGAAGGCACATCTCTAGTCACCTCAATATGCCCATGTTCATGTGTGACACGTGCGGCAGAGAGTTCAAGCGTAACAGTCATTTGATCAAACACATTCGACAGCATGACTTTGAGAAGAAGGGCGAGAAACATACATGTCAAGTAAGTAGCTCAGCCAGATTGCCTTAATGATAGTGTAAGGCCAGATTGCCTTAATGATTAGTGTCTAGCCAGATTGCCTTAATGACTAGTGTCTAGCCAGATTGCCTTAATGATTAGTGTCTAGCCAGATTGCCTTAATGATTAGTTTCTAGCCAGATTGCCTAAATGATTAGTTTCTAGCTAGATTGCCTTAATGACTAGTGTCTAGCCAGATTGCCTTAATGATTAGTGTCTAGCCAGATTGCCTTAATGATTAGTGTCTAGCCAGATTGCCTTAATGACTAGTGTCTAGCCAGATCGCCTTAATGATTAGTGTCTAGCCAGATTGCCTTAATGATTAGTTTCTAGCCAGATTGCCTTAATGATTAGTGTCTAGACAGATTGCCTTAATGACTAGTGTCTAGCCAGATTGCCATAATGATTAGTGTCTAGTCAGATTGCCTTAATGATTATTTTCTAGCCAGATTGCCTTAATGATTAGTGTCTAGCCAGATCGCCTTAATGATTAGTGTCTAGTCAGATTGCCTTAATGATTATTTTCTAGCCAGATTGCCTTAATGATTAGTGTCTAGTCAGATTGCCTTAATGATTAGTGTCTAGTCAGATTGCCTTAATGATTAGCGTCTAGCCAGATTGCTGTAATGATGACAGTGTTTGGCCAGATTGCTAGACGTATTGTTTGCTGTCCCACTAATCAGATGCAAAGTTTGCTTCATCTGTAATTGTGAATTGAGATAGTTTTCTAAGAAACAATTTGAGCGCAGTAATTTGTTTTACATTATTTAAAAATACCAGGTCTACAGACCTGTTTACTCTTGCGATTTTGGCGTACAATGTACGATTTTGAGGTTATAAATTATATATATACTACATATTTATTTTTTACTATTAAGATAATGTATTGAACGATTTCGTGATGATATTGTACGATTTTAAGAGTTTGAGAGTAAACGGGTCTGGGTCTACAGTAATATTACCTTCATATATTACCACCTAGACACTGAATGTAAGACATATGTAAGACGTAGTATCATATATTGAAGATGATGTCTTTAATTAATTGTTCATTATACTGATGTTCTGATACAGCTCAAGAGCTAGACATAAGAAAAAAAGATCTACAGAAATGCTTTGATAATGACAGTAATTTTTGTGGTAAAGTCCCATGAAAATTTCTCGGTATCTTTTAACCATATTGTATTCTTTTTATTGTCACTCTGGCTCTTCAAATTCTCTCTGTACAGTCCAGTAACGGCTCATAAAAACAATGTTCCCCAGATATAATTTTTTTTTTAAAGTTTTATTTCCTATATAATAATGAAGTTAAAAAAATTTAAAGACAAATATTTAAAATCTCAGTTTCTATGAACAAATATTTTTTTTATATCAATAAATTGTGGACAATGATAAGCTGAAATGGTGCTAAATGAAAACTGTGACACATAATTTAATATTTTCAGATCTGTAAAGCTTCATTTTTCACACCGGAGGAGCTGTCCCGTCACATGAGACGGCACGGAGAACGCAACTACAAGTGTGCCTGGCCAGGATGCCACTGGACGTTTGTGCTGAGTGGCGAGCTCAAGTCCCACATGTTCACTCACACGGGAGAGAAGAAGTATCTATGCGACATCTGTGGATTCGGCGCACCCACCAAAACCAGGCTGAGGAGGCACGAGAAGACCCACGACAAGTCCCGCAACTTCAACTGTGACTACTGCCCCTACAAGGCCTCCTGCAAGACCCACCTCAAGCGGCACATGCGCATCCACATCAACTCTCGCCCGTTTGCCTGTCCCTACTGTAACTATACATGCAACACTCATGAAAACATCCGCAAACACATCCTCAAGACTCAGAAACACAAGGGCATGAAGCTTTATCCCTGCAAACTGTGTGGTAACTTTGGTTGTGACTCCAGCAAAGAATTCCGTGCTCACCTCATGACTGTTCACGCCAATTACCTGCGGGAAAACTCCATTGACTCTCTGGCAGTGTTCTCTGGACTTTATAAACGGGAAGAAGACTTCCAACAACCAAAGGAGGGTTCTCAAATCATCCAGGTGACCAAAGGGAGATTTTTTAGATCCTACCAGAACCCCGATGCCCCCATCGAGCCACCCAAGCCCAAAAAGCCCAAGAAATCATCTCTTAAAAGCAAGATGGAAGAGGTCAAGGTCATCATAGTCCACCCATCTGAACTGGGGGAAGATGTGGACAAACTGCAACACAAGGAGGAGCCAGAACAGTTCCTGCAACAACTGCAGCAGGAAAAGAAGGGCCAGCTGCAACAGCAGCAACATCATCTCTCACAAGCCCACCAGCAACAGCAGGGACAGCTGCGGCAGCTTCTGCAGGACCAACAACAGCATCAGAATCACCAGCAACAAATGATGATGGAACAGCAGGAGGATGAGTCACAAGAAGAAGAAGAGGAGGAAGTGGAGCAAGATGATGAGGAAGCTGAGGAAGAGTCCAGCCAGGAGACGGAGGCTCAGCAGTATATAGAAGTCCCCAACATGGTCATCCATTCCTTCAACCCACAGCAGTCCCAGCAGCTGTCTGGTACCACCGTCTCTTTCACGTCCTCCGTGTTACCCCACACTCAGCCCCAGCAGCTTCCCGTGACAGTCTCAATGACTGATGACAAACTGTACTGGACGGTGCTACCAGAACACAAAGTTGTGCTCCCCGCTGCCCCCACCCCTGAACCCTGGTACTCCGGCATGCCCCAAGTCCATGCACCGACATCCCAAGAGCTGCAGCAGTACAGGCCTATAGAGGTGACCACAAGCCACCCTGGCAACTTCTTGTCCAACTCCTACTTCTGTAACATCCCTGTGGGGGATATTCAGACAATACAGAGTACAGTGGGGTGCCCCATTTATACTAGCCTGGTGGAGAATGTGGTGGTGCTGAGTGATCCAACCAGACCAGAGACAGCAAGTCTATGAGAGATTTTCTATCTCAGAAGATGAGTGATCAACCAGTCCAGAGACTGCAAGTCTATGAGAGATTGTCTATCAGTCTCAGAAGATGAGTGATCAACCAGTCCAGAGACAGCAAGTCTATGAGAGAGTGTCCATCAGTCTCAGAAGATGAGTGATCAACCAGTCCAGAGACTGCTAGTCTATGAGAGATTTTCTATCAATCTCAGAAGATGAGTGATCAACCAGTCCAGAGACTGCAAGTCTATGAGAGATTGTCTATCACCATGCACAAGACTCAAGCTATAAACAGCTTTGTTTGATATTTATGTGAAAAGTGCCAAAATGATTTGTTAGTTTTCTTTTAGAATAGGATACAAGGCTTATTACATGATCTAGAAAGAATTTCTAGTAATAATCTTCAACAGCATTCATTGCAACTGTAAATATGTACAAACTTATATTTTGAAGGTAATAGTTTAACATTTATTGATGCACAATAGACTTTACCCATAAATGAATTGTTTCAATCATTAGGGGTGAGCCAGACATGTTCAACAATTCTGTCTCAAGTGTAAATGTTATTTAAATACTTGAAGAATCCAAAGCAAAGCTTTTAACACAACCACCAGCAATCCTGCAGATCTGATTGTACTGATCCTTCAAGCTTTGCTGTAAAACTAGCCATTTAGTATTAGAAGTGAATATCTCAGTTTTTACAAATACTTTTTTGCGAGGAAGCCAATGCATCTCAATCATTTTGATGATCTTACCTCCTGTTAACTGAGCCAGGTGGATTTTTGGTTTCTGTGCTGCTTTATATCAGTTGGGTATTTATTATTCTGCCAAACAAAGATCACGTTTCATTATTGTATTTTACTCAGTAGTCTTCCATAGAATAGTGGAGAAGAAATACATGTTTTCTTATGTTCACTCTTCCAGGTCAATGTAGTAATAAGTGGATTTGTCTAATGGTCATACATTCAGGTAGGTCATAGAGTAATAATTTTCAAAATCTGCTTTGTTTACATCTCCCTTGTGCTATTGGAGAACTGCTCACAGAAAGACTAGAGACAAGTTATACATTTAACTGGCAGCGAGGTTCAATAATTAAACATTTAACTACTTACCCCCAGCTAGAACTTTCTGAATTAACCAGAAATAAGAAATTTAGGGTGTTTTTTGTTGTTGTGTTGCAATGTACTTTTATTTTTAATTTTCAAGAGACTTAAAACTAAAGAAACAAATATGGAGATAGTGATGATATTCTAGTCAATTGCTGTGAATAATTCCTTCAAGGGGAAATTGCGTGTTTTGATAAATGTCATAGCATGAAATTGGATCCGAATCATAATGTTGTAGACATCATGTCTTGAAATTTGAATATGTTTTGCAACAATTTGATATTTAAAACTGCACAGCAATGTGATAGGCCTAACAAATTGGTATTGTTAGCTTTGGGAGGTCTGTTATTTCTTTACTAAGTGCACATCTAGACAGAGTTCATAACGCTAAGCAACAGTTCCAGTTTTTGTCTGCAGTGTGCACAGTTGACTTATTGGTCTGATGAATTAGTGTCACTGGCAGTATTTTAAACAAACTAGAGTAAATTCTACTCTACTTATTATTAGACTAATTTTCCAGTCTTTTTGGCTGATGTGCTAGCTTGGCCAACTGCTTGTTTAATTTGATTGCTTTCAAAGAGAAATTATTAATTCTCAATCTACATGTCTATAAATTTAGTCACAGCTAAAAAACTATTTAGAAAGCACAAAATCAAAGAATGTATTTACAGTCTTTATTGCTACACCATTATTGGTACACACAAAGCATCAGCATTTAAACATTTTATTTGTGTTTTTTTTTAATCCTCATAATTTGTTATTGATGCGACTTTATTTAAATAATGTAATGTATTGGATTTATTTATTTTTCATGATTTTGAAGAAAGAATTAGAATCATTAATAAATGTATTATTTTGGTAGTTTTTTTTAAAAACAAATCTTTAACTGTGCAATAAATACATATTGGTTCCTAAGAAATCTCACAATGACTCTATTCTGACTGTAAAGAGGGTACAGTAGTATAAAAGGAATAAATAGTGTGATTTTTTTTTTGCATGGTTTATTTGTTTATTGATTTAATATGTGACTATGGCATTGTTATTATATGAAGTGCACCATGGATTTAATAAGTATAAGTCATACTATCATATGATTATGTGTAGTGGTATATAGAAAAATGTGGAAAATATTTCAATGGAATCTCATGGAAGTCTCAGGCATGGTTGTGAAATAACAGACAGTAAGTTTATGTTTAATGTCCTTAAATGCTAAGTGGTTTGATAAATACAACTCAATCATAGGGAGAAAATCAAACTTGGATCCTGGTCTAAATAAATATATGAGGGGAAAAAAAAGATTGATGAGAAAGCCAAGATCCAGTATTTCATACAAGTCTCTCCAATAGAAGTGTAGACATAGCACACTGGATAAAGAAATCTATACAGGATGAAATCTATGCAGATGATAAAAACAATTCTATAACAAATACAAGAGAACACTGATGTAGTTTTATTATGTGATTTATATGACAACATCTTCATATCTGGTGCAAGGTAATATAATACATTCAAATACTTCTTTGGTCAGACATTCAACATTATTGATATGATGCTAATACTAAATAATACACACATGAAATGTTACACACACCTTAAGGACTTTTTGTCTCATTCTATCAAATAGGTTCTGAAATAGAGAAAAACAGCATTCTTAACAATAGTGGATCTGGGGCGTGGTGTGTGTTTTTTTTCCCAAGCACATTTTTTACTGGCCAACTGGACACCACAAATGGTTTAGTTCGATTTTTTAAGTCCAAAAGAGATTTAAATATATACTGTAGTTGTGTGATCTCTGGTTCTTTACAAAGGCAGGTACAATTAAGTTGAACACTTGTTACGCCAACGTGGTTACAGGTGTAACATTAACTGGTTGGCTACCAGGATTTAAAATTAAAAGAATCATTTTTACATGTCAGTCATTGCAGTCAACCATTGCAGGCTTTTTTTTTTTTTTTTGCCCTTCCTTAATCATTCTTTTTTTTTTTTCCTTCCAATTTTAGCATAAAAATTTTTTTTTTTTTTTTTTTTTTTTTTTTTTTTTTTGCCCTTACTTAATTATTCTTTTTTTTTTTCCTTCCAATCTTAGCATAAAAATTCCTCTATCTAACGAGATATGCCCTATCAGCTACTAAAATTCAAAAGGCTTTAATATCAACAGGCTGTAAATTTTGCAGTTATGCTAATTACAATTTCAATGGTACAAGTTAAACCCAATCATATAATTTAACTCCTTTGATTAAAGAAACATTTTAAACTGCTTAAACTAATTTAAAAAGAATTCCTAAGCTCCAAACCTTTCTCAGCATTTGAAGTTTCGTATACATCCTGTAATACCCAACAGGTTGACACTATAAAGGATACATTATGTGCATGCTCTACATGAGTTTAAATTTTTTTTGTGTTAATGCTGGCAACATTCTACTACTTTTTGGCTACATGCATCCCATTTGCAACAATAATGATATATAAAGGCAATAATATAAAGTGTAATTGCACAAAGGAGATGAATATAAAAATTTGATCAGAAGTGTGGAGATGAAAGGCTATTGTATGTTGCAATGCATCAGACATTGAGAGCAGGACATTTGAAGAAAAAATATGATCATCACCAGACATCGATGAATACAGAATGGAAACATTTTGAGGAAATCCTGTCATAAAAACCACAAACACTATTATGATTATGTATTGTAAATAACTTACATGGTCTAAGGAGTTCATTATACACAAATCATACACAAATCAGAGGACAATCTAACATGTTAAATATAAAAATAATGTTGGCTTCTATGAAAGATGGTTTTCTTTTTAAATTCATAGAGCAGATTGACAAATATCTTTATTTCTAACTACATTTAAAAATATCCAATGCCCAAATAAACAGCTCTTTTAATAAACATTTAAACAAATCACTCTTCATATAGATGGAGTTAACCAGGCATTGTTTTACATGATCATTTGATATTGAAACACAATAGTAGTCATACTCCGATTAATCATTTGACTATTTTCAACTGTAGGTAGAATTTAAGAAAAGTTTTCCGACTCCGATGATTTGACAATTTTATTGCAAAAAAATTGTAGGAAATAGATATAACACAGACTATGGCCCAAATAAAAAAAATACTCAACATCATTTTATGTACAGTACCAGGTACTGGTAACTGTAGTTTATTTTAAATTTATTTAAAAAAATGATGGTCAAATTTTAATATTTGACAAGATTATTTGTTAACACCTGTTTCTGGTTAGTGACACACAGACATAAAATGAATGCCTCCTCACCAGCATGGCACCTGGTGGCCGATGTTCAGCCATTTAAATGCATTTTAACGAAAAATTCATATACAGACTGCCTGGTGTAATAGTATTCTCAATTTAACTGCATGGACAGCCTGGGACTACTATCTCTTTTGTGGTTCTCATCTTCAAAGGCAAGATATGACTTTTATTTTTATTGGTTTCTTTTAAAAAACACATTCCACTATTGCCAGGACATACAATTTAACCATCTATTAATAATATATCAGGTGCCAGTTGTGTTAGACAAAAACAAAAGATTGAAGTAGCAAATAATTTTTTTAAATATGTGGATGGGGGGGAGAAGGGTGTGTAGGAAATTAGAAAAAGTCATGAACTTCATCAGATGGACCATGGCAAACCTGATGTGAGAAACCTATTGCCCCAAATAGCCAGTCTTTTCATTAAAAATAAAACACTGCATGTCATGAAATATAATAAATATATGTACAAAATATCAAACTAAGACAAGCAACCTGCAACACAATCCTGATCAAATGGAGGACAATTGTTTTGATTTATTTACACCCAATTTCAAGATAAAATAGTATAATTGCAATCATCTGAAATGAGATAATGAAATACTCTTTAAAAAGTGTCAGTCTTTTTTTAAAGTAAAAAAATAATAATACAATTAAAGATAGTACTGGAACACATTTTTGAGACTGTCCAAAATATGGGTTTTAAAAAAATAATAAAACTCCTAAATAAAGCAAACAACAAAAAAATCACATCAGTAAATGTCATTACATCAAAATATTATCTAAAACAAATTGCCCCAAATGAACAAATATATACCACATAAAAGTTTACAATACTGTCAGACTATTTCAATATATGGGGGGGGGCATGAAAAATTTTGAAAGTAGAACAAAACAAATGACCACCTCATTCTTCTGCTATGTGGCAAACTTCTTGTGATATAAATATTTCAGATAGGTTTAGTTCTCCAGCTTTAACCCGTGACTTGTTGAGACAATAAACAGGACAAAATAGATGAGACATAGAAAGAAAATCAGTTTTTCTAAAGCAATCAGTGATCTCCAGACAAGGTGTGGTTCTTTCTTGCCAATGTCTTTTATGGTTTGCATGGCAGGTTTGTATGGCACGTGTGGCAGTCAGCTGCCGTCAGAACAGTTGGACAGGACGAGCTGATTTTTTTAAAAAAACAGTTGTCAAGTTGCCTCCCAAAATTTTTTAACAATACTTTAAGTCTGTCAACAACTTTTGCCTAGACAATGTTGATGTGCTTCTATAGAAATGTATCTTAACTTTATCAACTTTTGCCTAGACAATGTTGATGTGCTACTATAGAAATGTATCTTAACTTTATTTAAAAGTTGATATGGTTTCTGTCTCTCTGACACTGGCATGCATTGGAATGGGTGAGTCAGGCAAAAATGTTTACCAACATTGATATTCAAAAGATACTACCTAGCAGTACGGGTATTACAGCAAGCAGACATGGATGCATAGACAATTCCTGCATTTTCTTACATATTTCAATGACACAGATGCTGTGGATACATGTTATGGACACATCCCCTTCCAATGCAGCCAGGTCATTTTGTAATTTTGATCATCCAGTTCAACATGATATCTGTTTATTTGAGGAAAACTTTTTAAAATCCATTGAAATGCATGGAGACCAGAATTTTACTTCATTGAGTCTTCATTGAAACTCAAGACTGTGAGATTTTGTTGGTGTTAAAGGACAAGATTTGTTTCTATGTTCAGTTTGTAGATGCACATTCCCAATGATGCCAAAATCTTCAAAACAAACAAAACTGTTGGATGTACATTGTCAGAGCACACATTTTAGTTCACTTTACATTTGTTTCTATGTTCAGTTTGTAGATGCACATTCCCAATGATGCCAAAATCTTCAAAACAAACAAAACTGTTGGATGTACATTGTCAGA